CTGAGCTGGCCACACACACACACACACTCACTCTCTCTCTCTCTCTCATAAATAAAAATTAAAAAATAAATAAATATATTTAAATAGTAAATAAAATCTTTTTAGGGATCAGTCAGAACACATCTTAGGGTTCTTCTTCCCTGGTCCAACCCAATTTTTGGCTTAGGCTGTTGGTACGTTCTGTTTTCCCAGCAGTGGTAATTGAGAGTAGATACCCAGCTTCCTGGTTAGTAAGTAGATCTCTTTCTAGAGCAAAGTAATTTAACCCTGAATCACTGGATTAGTAATGTAATTTGCAGGTTTAATTAGTGAATGAAATGAAGGTAATTCATCTCTTGGAGGAAAGTCAGAAATGTCAAACCCATTATTCCCAAGGCCTTTAGGTATTAGGGTGAAGAGGCAGAAGTGGCAGGTAGAGCCAGTGTCATAACATTTTCATGAGACGTGAGTAATTTGTGTATTAAGGCTGCAAAACACAGAGATAAAACCTAATCAAAAAGATATTATACTTTGTAAACAGTGTTTAACAGTTTGTAAGTACTTTAATGTTGTGTTTGCATATATTTTCTTTTCAGAGACTCTGGGACCTATAGGACAGGTATTATTACCCTACTCCCCATGAGGAGCTTGGGGATGGTGAGAGCCTATGACTTGCTTTTTATCCTCCAGGGGTGAGCAGAGAATTGAATTCGAATCCAGGTCTCCGTTAAGACCAGGCTGCCTTCATTAACTGCCCCAACATCGTTCCTTGTGAATCACGTTCAGCAGTCATTAACTTGGGAAGCTCCCCTGATAACTTTGTGGGTTGCCTTGGAGGCCCATTGGCTCCACACTGGATGTTCTCAGTCCAGGGTCACCTTGCACATCCACACATGATAGGATGCGGGCAACAAGGCTGATGGGCCTGCGGTCTCACTCAGCGCTTTGCTCTGCATTTAGTAGTCAGTTCTGAAGTGTGTCAGTTCAGGTTAGTGTACTCTATTTCCTAGTCACAACTATGAAGGGAATCACAGCTGGAACTTTTCTTTTTGATTTTAGATAACCGTTTCTGATGAGCCAGATGTATTGTACAAACGCCTGTCAATTGTAGTAAAAGCCCATGATAGGGCTGTACTGGATAGTTACGAGTATTTTGCCGTGCTTGCTGCTAAGGAACTCGGTCTTTCTATTAAAGTGTAAGTCTCACTTCCCTCACACCACCCTGGCTGCTGGAATGTGATCGGCCAGGAAACTGGCTCCTGTCCCGGCTCGGTCTGGTCTGCTAATGGCCTGGAAGTCGGTCACACTGGGTAGAGCTGCGTTTGGCCCTGGTTACTCCCCGCACGGGGAAAATGAGAGCAGTCTTATCTGGAAGCTGCACTGACCCGAGGAGGTGCAAGAAGCCCACAGATCTGTGTGTCCGTGAGCCCCATGGCTGGGCATTGCCACAGACACCCAGCCCCTGGCCTGATACTCTTTGGCCGGTACATCCAGTGTTTTCCGAAATAGACTATAGTTTTCTGGTTGTTGATGTGCAATTTTTCTAAAACAACACATACATAATATGTGCATATGCGTGTGTACACTTGTGCTCTCATACATTCTAGTGCTTGTTTTTAGGTCCATGGGCGGAGGTTCCTGTCGCTCCCTTGGTGTTTATTGTGGCCAGAGCTGCTTGACAGCAGTTGTTGCTAGAGATGATAACCTTGACTAATGCAGTCATTAAATGGTAGCTAGTGCCTGTAATTTGCAAGCCTGGCCTACCAAGCTTTGGAGTTGTGCTTTATATCAGCAACTTGGGTCTTAGCAGCAGGCAGATTAAGGTTGTTGTTTGTCCCTTTGTTTCAGATATGAGCCACCAAGGAAAATAGAGCGGTTTACACTCCTCAAGTCGGTGCATATTTTCAAGAAGCACAGAGTGCAGTATGAGATGAGAACACTTTATAGACGTTTAGAGGTGGGTTTGTGACAGCTGCTCGGGCAGTTTGAAATGCTCAGGTTCACGCTAGCATCCCCATGACTTTCCTTTAACATTGACCCGGTTGGCTTCCCGTCATGCTTGTCTTGGTTGGTGGGAGCTACAGGACAGAAAAGCAAACTCAGCACCGTCCTTAGAGTGTGTGCACTTCTAGAAATGCAAAACAAATCTCGTGAAGTTCTTTTGCAGTTCTAGGCTTCCATTGTCGTGTGTTACCATTCATTCATGTGTCCTCAAGGGCCAGGAGAGCATGACTTGGACTGATGAAATCTTTGTGTAAAGTATGTGCCACCACTCCTGGCAGCATACTTTTAAGGGTAAAAGAACGACCCAAAGTTTCATCCACCTACGTCTGTCAGTCATCTTGCTGTGGAGCATTCCAAAAATCACAAACTAACTGTACCCTGAAATCTAATCTCCCTTTTGCTGCTGTCTTGAGTTGCTTTGTGAAGCGTTCCCAAGTCCTGCTATGGGGCTGTGCTTGTTCCCCGTGTCACACCATGGAACGCCAGCACTCAGGCGGTGGAGGCATCTGTTAAGAAGCACGGAGGCCACACTTCTCACCTGCTCCACCCAGCAGACCTGAACATGTTCAGATCGTGTGTGAGATTACCTAGGGGAAGAACAGGCTCCGCCACTTTACCAAATATAAAAACCTTAAAGATTTCTGCTTTAACCAGACACAGTGGTGCTTGCCTATAATCTCAGCTACTTTGTAGGCTGAGTCAGAGGGATTCTAAATTCAAGGGTACCCTGTGCAATTTAATGAGATCCTGTCTCGAAAAATAAAGGCTGGGGTGTGGCTCAGTGGCTGAGTGCTTGCGTGGTGCGCGGGAGGCCTTTGCTTCGATCTCAGCACCAGTACCAAAAAGCAGTATTTCTGCCTAACAAGCATAACGGAAACCATTTGCATGTGTGGGGTTTCAGTTACAACACCTGACTGGATGCACGGCGAATGTCTACTTGGAATACATTCAGAGAAACTTACCCGAGGGGGTCGCCATGGAAGTAACCAAGGTACGACTTGAGTCTCCACCACCTGGAGTTCCACCCTGTCCCATGTGTGTGGCAACCCCAGCCTGGGCCCCACGCCCGGAGAGCCCAGAGCGGCCCAGGAGTGGGGTTGTCACCATGATGGTGGGTTGACCCTCACTTCCTCCTGTCTGTAAAAAGGGAAGAGTTGGTAGCTAACTAAGTCCAGCTCACAGCACTCTCGTGGGTCCACTGCATTATAGATTGGTTTCTTCTTTCAGACACAATTAAAGCAGCTGCCAGAACACATCAAGGAGCCAATCTGGGACACAGTAGCCCAGGAGGAAGAAGCAAGCAAGTCCTGAGGCCTCACTCCTGCAGGGAGAGGAGCGCGGATGCGGCTGTGTTGTGTTCACACGGGGAGAGGAGGAGGAGGAGAGCCGAGTCCGTGCCGCTCCCCGTGGCGTCCGCTGGACCCGCAGCTGAGAGCAGAGCGTGGAACTTTAGTGACAGGCGCAGCTGTAGCAAGAGGATCGTGTCTGCCCATGTCATTGTTTCTTATGACTTTGAACAAGCGTGAGCAAACCATTGAAATACTCAAAGCCAAAAAGTTGAATTTGTATTCAGCCCCACTGTTGTTCAGTTATTTATTAGTTTGTACTGATTTGGTTTTCATCTGTCCTTTTTTTTTTTTTTTTTTTTTTTTTTGACAGAACCAGGGATTGAACTCAGGCCCTTGCGCTTGCCAGGCAAGCGCTTATTCTACTGAGCTATCTCCCCGGCCCCTGTTCATTCTTCAGAAAAATGAGGGTTTGAAGTATTTTCAGACTTTTTCCCAGCAGGAAAGTGGGTTAGGGCTGTCCTGTTGATCTCACTGTGGCTGGCGAGTGTGGCCCTGGCTCCTGAGCTCCACCTGTGCTTTCTGGAATAGTGAGCGCAGTGTGGCAGATGGCGCACGTTTATGACACGCACAGAGCTCTCGTAGCCCAGACCCTCACAGCACTGCCTCCAAGGGTCACTACGACTGAATAGCTGCTCTTAGCAAATTACTGCTGTTGGGCTGGGCAAGGTAGTGCACACTCATAGTCCTAGCACTTGGGAGGCTGAGGCAGAAGAATCCTGCAAGTTCAAGGTCATCTTCAATTAAATAGTAAGTTCAAGGTCAGTCTGAACTTGCTAGATCCTGTCCCCCCGCCCAAAAAAAAAAAGTTACTCCTCTTGGGTGCAGGAGCCCATGCCTGTAAGCCCAGCTACCCAGAGGCTGAGGCAAGAGGAGGACAGAAAGGCAGACATGAGCACACACACTGTTCCATTCATCCTCTGGCTCAGGCGCACAGGTGTCTTTCCTCAGATCCTTCCTGATTAGATGGCCTCTTTTGGTGGGCAGCTGCACTTTTCCTTGGTTCTGAAGCCCTGGGAGGTGGCTTCGGTGGTCAGGCAGCTGGCATGGCAGCCCCAGAAGAGCATGTGTTTCTTTCCACAGCCGAACCAGGTCCGTGTCTTTTGTGTCCTTCCCACTCTCCTGCCCCCTGCTGTGGTGCCTGCCCTACTGTCAAGTGTCATTGTCTTAAATCAGCTGGTTCTGTGTCGCACTTCCACGATTGGCATTGGCATGAGGAGAATTACAGCCTCATGCCCCATGAGCCCCGAGTTCACGTGTTGCGTATGTCATTTACAGATGCCTGAATCGTGTTTACCCCAGGTATGAACCTCGGATCCAGAAATACTCAGGCCGACAAGCTGCATGACAGTGGCTGAGCCTAGCCAAGCTGTGTGTGGCACAGTTACTGTAGAAAAACTAGTTTAAAAAACACTTGTGGGGCCGGCAAGACAGCTCAGTGGGCTAAAGCACCTGCGTAGGCAAGCTCAGAGACCTTGGTTCGATCCCCAGCACCACATGCCTTGCCAGCCCCATCTACAGGGTGGGGTTGGCCAGAGTCCAGATGTAGTGGTGCACACCTGTAATCCCAGCACTGGAGAGGCTGAAAGCAGGAGGATCACCACAAGTCCAAGCTGCGTAGTGAGACCCTGCAACAACCAAATAGGTTTTAAGAAGGGGGGAGGGATGCTTTGGAGATAGTTCAGTAGAATAAGCGCTTGCCCCTGAGTTCAATCCCTGGTTATACAAAAAAAAAAGCATGGAGGAGACTTCTCTAAAGGCAGTTAAAATTATAGGCCAGGCATCATGGCATAGGCTTGCAGTCCCCACACCCAGGAGACTGAGACAGAAGGATCACAAGTTCAGGGCCAGCTTGGGTTACATCTAAACACCTCCTTCCTGGGCTGGTGAGATGGCTCAGTGGTCTAAAGCACCTATTTGTACAAGCTTAGCAAAGCAAAGGGACCACGATTCAATCCCCCAGCACCACATGCCAGCCAGCCCCGCCCTCTGGTGGGCTGAGCTGGCCACACACACAAATAAAAATTTTTTTTTTTTTTTTTTTTTTTTGCACCGAATGCCTTCAAGGCATGACTGGCTGTCTTGTGTTGTGGGGATCGAACCACAGCAACCTGAGCCTGACTGCTTTGTTGAAGCAGCCACTTAAAGAACTGAGCTAAGGGGCAGGCCCCCCACAAATAAAAATTAAAAAAAAAAAAACACCTCCTTCCATTTCTAGCCATCCTTAGACTAAGGAGCTTGTTTAGCCAAGAACTTAAAATTGTGTGTTAAAGTCTAGTTCTAGGGGCTGGGGAGATAGCTCAGTTGAATAAGTGCTTGTCTGGCAGGCTCCGGAAAAAAAAATTCTAAGATAAATGCACAGGGCTAGTGAGCTACTTCAGTGAATTAAGCACCTGCTTAGGCAAGTGCAGGGACCAGGGTTGGATCCCTGGCACCACAAGCCAAGCTGGCCCTGCCCCTAGACAAGTTGAGCTGATCACAGAGGCTGGGTGTGGTGGCGCACACCTGTAATCCCAGCTGTGGGGAGGCTGAGGACCAGAGACCCTGGACCAAATATGTTTAAAGAATAAATGCACAAACCACACAGCAAAAACTATTAATATTTCTTTGTCAAAAGATCTTGGCATTTTGAAACCTACTTTTTGATATAAACCAAGCTTTTTTTTTCCCTGAGAAGTGTTTTGGGCTTTTGTTTGTCTTAAGTCTCTGAGTAAAACCTGTGTGGCAAAGATAGTAACACCCAGATCTGGCTTGCTCTCTGTGGTATGCCTGGGGCAGTGAGGCCTTGGTCTGGAAGCCGCATGCACAGAAGCCCGGGAGGAAGTGGGACAGTCCTTCATTAAGGGGCAGCTACGCTCCTGCAGCTCCTTCATTAAGGGGCAGCTGCGCTCCTGCAGCTCCTTCATTAAGGGGCAGCTACGCTCCTGCAGCTCCTTCATTAAGGGGCAGCTGTGCTCGTGCAGCTCATACGACTCAGTTTCTTTCTTTCTTTTTTTTTTTTTTTTTTGCGGAACTGGGGATTGAACTCAGGCTCTTGCACTTGCCAGGGAAGCGCTTATTCTACTGAGCCATCTTCCCCGGCCCCTTGGTTTCTTCATGTTAACTAGACTTGTTCTGAACCCCTCCGTATCATAACTGTTTTCAGAACCACTTCTGCTTTTGCTGTTCATTGACGCAACTTGGTTTCTTTTTTTTTTTTTTTTTTTTTTTTTTTTTTTTTTTTTGCAGAACTGGGGATTGAACTCAGGCCCTTGCGCTTGCCAGCAAAGCGCTTATTCTACTGAGCCATCTCCCCAGCCCCTCAACTTGGTTTTTTAACTAAACTTGTTCTGGTCTGTCTAAAGTTTCTGGTCTAACCACGGGTCTCTGCTAAGACAAACTCGTTCAGTGCCAAGTTCCGGTTATTCCTAAGAGAATGACACATTCTCTTAGCCATTTAATACGCCGCCCTTCTGAGTGGAGCCAGCCCAAGAGTGGCCGTGAGCTCAGCCTCCAGGCCCCGGGGCAGGGCTGGCTGGCAATTGGAACTACTCTCGCTGCAGCTACCTGTGCTAGGTTGAGTTACAGGTCTCGGTGTTGCTTTGTTCCTGCTCCTTTCTAGCTCCTTCTTTCTCTCTTTTAAAATAAAAGGTTGCTGAGTGTGGTGGCACGTGTGTGTGACCTCAGCACTTGGGAGGCTGAGGCGAGAGGATCACAGCAAATCTGCGACCAGCCTGGGCTACATAGTTTAAGGGCAGCCTAAACTACAAAGTGAGACCCTAGCTCATAAATAAAAGTTTCATTCTATGCCGTTATGTGTTAAAACTATTTAATTTGGGGCCAGGGAGATGGCTTAGTGGAATAAGCGCTTCCCTGGCAAGCGCACGAGCCTGAGTTCAGTCCCCGGTTCCATAAAAAAGAAAAATAATTTGAAGCACCCAGCATAGGCTCATAACAACTTATATGTCAGCATCCATTCCTTCCCTGTGTGATATGAAATTAGTTTCACTCCACCAGTGTGAGTAGTAGCATAGACGAAGTATAGGCTTTGGGGCCAAACAGACCCACAGGTTGCTTTAAGTGCAGACAAAATACTTAACCCTGTCTGAGCCCTAGTTTAGCCCTTGCACTTGCCAGGGAAGCACTTATTCTACTGAGCCGTCTCCCGGCCCCTACTTATTTGTAAAATGTACAAAACAGAGCCTTCTTAGGACCAGCCAAATAGCTCAGCTGATTAAAGCGCCTGATTAAGGCAGATGCAGGGGAGAGGGGTTCGATCCCCAGGCCCCATCAAGCAGGCCCCCCCGGGGCGTGCTGAGAGAGCACTTAAGACTGGGTGTGGAGGTGCATGTGCCTGTAATCCCAGCACTTGGGAGGCTGAAAAACAGGAAGGATTACTACCACTCAGATCTATGTAGTGAGACCCTGTACTAAACACATAAAAAAGAAGAAAAAAAAATAGTGCCTTCTTACTAGGATTGGTGATACAGGGAGAAAAACAGATCTCGGGTGGGTGACCTCCAAATGATACAGGGAATCTCTAAATGACATAGGGAAAAATGACCTCCTAACCTGACCTGCACAAGTTCACGTTCTCTAAAACCGAAGAATGAATTTTAGGAACAAACGGAGGTTATGAGCAGAATATATTTATTGAGGGAAAGAAAGCTCCTGTCCGAAAGAGGGCAAGAGGGGGGCTCAAACAGGTTGTCCCCAGGAAGCTGTCTTTTCCAGGGACTTCTATAGTGTAAAACCATGTGAGGCTAAGGTGGAGAGAATGTGAACTCGCTTAGGTGGGCAGGAGGTGGGACAAAACTATGGTCAACCAATGGGATTACAAGCACCGTTGCTCAGGTAAAATTGATGAAGTCCAGACCAAATGGGGAAGTGAGCCACATAGCCAGTGGGCCTGAATGTAGAACAGGATTTTATGAGGTAGCCATCCAGTAGTATTCGGATTAACGATTCTTGGTCTCCCTCAGGGTGATGATCAATCTCCGATGCCAATCTTTAGGGAGGTCGGCATTTATTTGATCTTTGGTCTTTAGGTCTTACCTGAGGCGAGAGCATCCATCCCTCTCAATGTTGCAAGATATCTTGTCTTCTGTGGTATTTCCTTGGCGGGCCTGGCCCTGTCTGACTGCCTGTAATATTTCTATCTAACTTGGCTGCCTACAACATTGGGATGCTAGATAAGTGATAAATACATCTTGCTGTGTGGACAGTCCTTCAGTGACAGGCTTTGCGGTGCCGTGCTGACCATGCTGTGTCTAGGAAACAGTGAAGGAGACACCACACAACAGCTGAGCTCCCAGGGACCAATGTCATCCAGCTCCCTCGCAGCACTTTGATAGTATTACTAAAAGTCTCCCTTTCCTTTTTTTTTTTTTTTTTTTTTTTTTTTTTTTTTTTTTTTTTTTTGTGCTTGCCAGGTGAGCACTTATTCTACTGAGCTAACTCCCCCACCCCAAACCTCCCTTTTCAAAAAAACAATGCATAAGAGCTGTGATCTGCCCTCCCAGCCACCCTTTCAGCTTGAGGACGAGGCCAAAGCTAAAAAAAAGAAAAAAAAAAAAAAAGAAAAGTGAAATGGGTGAGAGTTCTCAGGGTTAGTGACAGGTACAGCCCCAGAACCCACTAAAAGGGGCTGTGGGGAACTCAGATGTCTACATATTAAAAACAAGACTCAAACTTGAATGTGAGATATATTTCCTGTTTAACAAATTATCTCATTTCCTTTAACACCTAGAAGTGAAAAGATCAGAGGAGCCAGGGAGATAGCTCAGCGGCATTAGCAGCTGCCTGCCAAGCGCAAGGTCCTGAGTTCAATCCCTGATACTGCAAGAAAAGAAAATGAAAAAGACCAGAGGAACATCCGCCAATGAGAGACAACAGCGGAAAGCAGAATATAGCGTGGGCACTGGTCCTGCGTGATCAAGGGGCAGCCCAACAGCCTGGGCTTCAGCAAGGCCAGTCTTCCTGGACCCCAGGAGCCCAGCATGCCGGTGGTGAGCAGCAGGCATCCCAAACGCTGCCCCATGGCCGCCCAGGGCTCCCTGCAAATCCCCTCCTCAATTCCTAACCCTGTCTTCTTTAAATCCTTGCTATTGTTATTCACTTCAAGCTATTATTTCTCTCTCTCTGGATTCTTAATCCTCTTTAAAATGATATATTTATATCTCAATAGCTCAGCGATATTTATAGGGCAGGTCACGGACAACTGACCTCCTTGAAAAGCCAGCTTGGATTCCTCAGCCAAATGCTAAATTAAATTCTGTTTCATCCATAGAAGTTCCCGAGTGCAAGTACTGTCCTGCAGTCACTCCTCAAGGTTGCTGAAATAGCAATAATGCGAGACTGGGAACAGCAGCACCCTCCTGCAGAGCAGCTGAGGTGCTGGGTGTCTAGCCGTGGCTGCTTGTGGGCAGCGCCATCTTGGAGTGCTGAGGTAGAGAAAGACTCAAACATTGCACAGTGGGCTGAGTGACAGCCACAGTGTCTTCTGGCTCTGAATTCCCACTGCTGTCCCACTTCAACAAATCTCTGCTCATTTGGGGACCCGATGGAGTCAGGAGGAGCGGTGTCTCCCCTCATCCACATGGGAGCGTGACGCCCTTTGCTTAGTCTCCCAACAAGTGCTCCTGCCAAGACCTGCTGTCTACACTGGAGGTTCTGTAGTGGACATGGTGAAGTCCCTGTCCTCAAAGATTGTAGCCGAGTGTGGAAAACAGACAAACGGGGCAACGAGGTAGTTACAGATGCAGGGGCGTTCTGTGAAGAAAGTAAAAATGGAAAAAGAAAAAAAAAGTGAAAACGATGTCAACGGGCCTACTTGGAGGAGGAGCAGGGAGACCACCACGGAGGCAGCCAGTGGAGGTGTGGGGGAAGGGCAGTCCAAGCAGGAGCAGCAGCCAGCACCAAGACTGAGCAGTGTGGTGTCCACAGAGGAGACCTGGGGGCACACAGCCAGAAGTGGGCAAGGGCTGGGTCACGTCACGCATGGTAGGCATGGAAAGGCAGGTAGGATTCCATTCTCAAAGTGGACAGGAAGCTATAGGAGGTTCAGGGCGGAATAGCAGAGGGATCTAATTTAAGCAAGTGTTCTGCTGCTGGGTTAGAGAGGAGCGTGACATAGGGGACCGGCTGAATGGATCACAGAGACAGTGCCTGTGGGCTGGAGTTGCAGCAGTGGAGCTGATGACCCATATTTGGGCTCTGAGTGTAGTGCAGAGGGTAAGCTGATGGAGTGACATGCTGAAAGGTGGAGGATGAGAGACGGCAAGGATGACCTCTGGTCTGGAGCCTAAGCAACTACCATTGTGGGGTGGGAAAGAGTTCTGGGGGACCTTGGAGATGGACTAGCCAGGCTTCATCCTCGCTGAGTCCATGGCTGGGCACAGGCGTCAGGCGGTGCTGGGCAGTGGGCCAGCCTGGAGGGGCACCGCTCAGCTTGTAAGTGGCCTGCATCGCCATCACAGTGAATGTGGCATGAGGGACAGCAAGGTATAAGGGGAAACTGGAAAAGTGGGGACACTGAGCCCTCAGAAATGAATGTTGGGGCCGGGGAGATGGCTCAGTGGAATAAGCACTTCCCTGGCAAGCTCAAGAACCTGAATTCAATCCCAGGTTCCGCCAAAAAAGAAAAAAAAAAAAAAAAAAAAAAAA